AATTTAGAGAGTAATTTTTTTATACGATCCAGCAATATTCTCTATTTGACAATTTATTTTATTTTTTTCAATAAATATTTATTGATTTCTTCTCATATTTTATTTAGCATAATTTTTTATATGTTAATTTTCAATCAATTTATATGTGATTTGAATAATTTAAATTATAGTATTACAATTTGTAAACTTATTAAAATAAACTATTATTAATTAAGAATGGAGAGTGTGCCACTCTTTATTTTAAAAAGTTAAAATCGAGAACCTTTTGAAACTTATCTTTAAGCATTTAGTCTCTAAAATCGAGAGTATTTTATATTTAAAGAATTTCTTGAAAATGTTCTAAAGACTCTTATGGTGATCAATTCGGGGGCCACTGCAAGACAGATTGATCTTACTAAATTCTTATATGCCACTTGGAGTTCGAGAGCCACGTAGGGTTGCACTACTGATTACAAGTACTGGTAGGATTGACAAGGTGATACTATATCCTAATGCCTTGGAAGTAATCTCGTGTTGTTGTTCTCCAATAATTGTCATAGTAGTGGTGAGGGTTCCGACAAGATGCTTTCAACAAGGAATGAAAAACCTTTGATACAATTGTACTCCATGGCAAACATTTCTCAATTCGGAAAGTCAAGCGGGGCAACCGACCCTCCTAGCTAGCATCCCAAAGGGAGTAGAAAGATCGTGCTTTGGGTGTTACAACTCTATAATAATACGTATAGTATGAATCAGTCATAAACGAACAAAGTATCCAAAAGTCACAAATACCATCGACTAAAATCCTATATAATTGTCCATGGACTTGCAAAAACAAAATGAAAGCAATATCCAAAAACTAAGCCAAACCTTTGTTGATTTATTTTTCCAGCACCCAATTTTCGGTAATTGATTTAAGCGTGGGATTGCAAAATGATATACTGGATCATCCTTGATACTTCGATCTCGCATTTTTAACGGTGTCTTAATATCTAGGGACGTATAAATAGATTGTCGGGGGGGGGGTCAGATTTAGAGGTTAACTATTAACAAAATAATCCATAAAAAATTTGTTCTTCTGTCCACTGTGGACATGATAAGACTTGCTCATGTGGTAAAAAAACTCGTTTGGAGAGAACTGTAAATAAGATTTGCTCTAAGTGAATAAGATAAGATTTTTCACAATAGATACAAGAATATTTATGTACTTTTTAGTGGGTAAAATACTTGATTGATTCTATGAATACATGGGAATGTTGTACAGGGGCTTTACGGGTGCCCAATGAAATTATGCCACATCTTCCTTGTAATGGCCTGTCATTTCCATTTAAAACAGGTAAAAAATTGTTGGTCAAGTAAATAAATAAAAAAAATAATGAAAGGCATGAATTAGAATCCTATCTTGTCGCACCAGCCAAGCAAACATCGTCAAATCACTACTCCCCACCCCCCAACCACCAAAAATCCTCCGCCGCCCCGCACACTTCCGGCTACCTTCTCTCCTCACTTAACTATCCGGTGACTCACATGACCCGGAACTCGGACTCTGAAACCAAACCCCGAAAACCGACTCGTACCGGCATGAGGCTCATAGTACCCTTACAAGGAATAGTTCAGGGGAGGGGTGGATTAATCCTAGGCTCGCTAATCCCATGCGCTTTGGTCTATTTCCTTCAGCTTTACCTCAAGCGACACCGTTCTTCTAACACTCTGTCGCCGTCCACGTCAGCGGAGAACCTCCCGGAACTGCCTCGCTCTTCATCACGCGCCAATTTGCTGACGCGTGGATCCATTGGGCGCGTCCCCGTCTCATCTAGGGCGAGCTCCATTGCCAAGCCTAATGATTGTCCGTATTACATTGGATTGGATAGGGTCCGAGAGGACCCATATGACGAAATAAATAACCCGAATGGGATAATTCAGCTCGGGTTATCCGAAAATAGGGTAATGATTAATGAATAATGATCACATCTTTTTTTTAATTTTAATTTATACTTATTTTTAGGAATTGATTTCTGATTATATTTTTCCTTCCTTTTGAAGTTATCTTTAGATTTGATTGAGGAGTGGCTTTCGAAAAATTTGAGTGCTTCAATGCTCGGAGAAGGGGGCGATGATCTGAATATTTGTGGAATTGCGGCATACCAACCCTCGGATGGACTGATGGAGCTGAAAGTGGTAATGTGTAATTAAGCTATCGATGTTATAATCTTTGATCAGAAATGTAACAGGCTCGCAAAATTTAAATTTGAAATGTTGATTCATAGTTTGAGCCTGTAAATGCTATTTGATGTTGCCATAATGTGACTCATGTTCAGAAATATTTCGGCTTTTGAGTAATTTCCTGTCTCCAAACATATTTGGATAAGGTGCTTTGTTTTTCTTACTTTTACATAAAAAGTTACTTGATTAGAGATTAGCTTTCTTATTTCCTATTTTGATCAATAAAAGAATTGTTTATTTGGAACTTACTTATATAAACTATTTAAGCTTAGCCAGACATGCTTGTTAATATCACTTTCTTTTATTTTTGGGCATTTTGGCCACATGAAGTTGATACTTGAGAGCACGTGGGTTCATTGATGATATTGTTTTGCCATTGAAATTTCTCTCACCCACGTTATATGTGGATGACGACGATGGATACAATATGTTAGTTCACGATGTTGATTTCTCACTGGGGCTCTTAAATGGTAGTTATTGTGAACGAATAATTTGAACTTTACATGCATGTAGAAGCCTAAAAGAGAGGAACCACAAAAGAAAATTATAATTGCCTTTTTTAGAAACAAATAGTTAGTGATCTCATACGTGATTTCGAATCATTCAGATTCATCTCTTTGATTACAATGAGGCAAATAGTGTTTATCTACTTACATATATGCTTCCTGTGTTCAATAATCATTAATGTCCTTCATTTCGTTCTGTTCGGTGAATTCCTGCATGCATTGGACTGCAGTAATTTGTATTTGCTATCCCGATTTCTGTTCCAATTCATAATCGACTATGTTACAGTTGCCTAAATATGTAAATATTTTTCAAAATCTTCAGGCCATGGCAGGTTTTATGACTGAAATAATGGGAAGAACGATATCATTTAATCCATCATCAGTGGTGTTAATATCTGGTGCAACTCCTGCACTTGAGATACTCAGTTTTTGCTTGGCCGACCAAGGGAATGCATTCCTTGTTCCCACACCCTATTATCCTGGGTAATATATATTCCCTTTTATTCTACAATAGTGTAGAGTTTATGATTACTCTATATTTTCATTTATGGATGGATCGAGTTTTTTCCAATTCTGAGTTCATTTCTTCTTTTATTATTTGTTTTCTTTCAGTTTGATTTTCTTCTGCATTTCTCCTTTTTCGCACTTTAAGCCTGTAAGTAACTATATTATCTACGTGCAGTTTTGATAGGGACATGAGATGGCGAACAGGTGTGGAGCTAATTCCTGTTCACTGTCGTAGCTGTGATGACTTCACTTTAAGTATAAAGGCGCTTGATCAAGCCTTTAATCAGGCAAGAAAACGAGGACAAAAGGTCCGTGGAGTACTCATTTCAAATCCTTCTAATCCAGTTGGAAACCTGCTGTCCATAGATATGCTCTACGATCTCCTAGACTTTGCTAGAGAGAGGAACATTCATATAATATCGGATGAAATATTTGCTGGTTCAATGTATGGCAACGAGGAATTTGTAAGCATGGCGCAGATACTCAACTCTGAAGATTCTGACAGGGATAGGGTTCATATCATATATGGGCTGTCCAAAGATTTCTCTCTCCCTGGTTTCAGAGTCGGAGTTATATATTCCTTCAATGAAAATGTTTTGGCTGCTTCCAGGAAATTAACAAGATTTGCTTCCATTTCAGCTCCAACCCAGAGACTAGTAGTTTCGATGCTTTCTGATACAAAATTTACCCGGGAATACATGAAGACAAATAGAGAAAGAATAAAGAAGATGCACGATTTATTCGTAGAGGGTTTGAGAGAGCTGGGAATTGAATCCGCAAAAAGCAGTGCAGGTTTATATTGCTGGGTTGATATGAGCAGATTAATCAGCCCTTACAATGAGAAAGGGGAGCTTGAGCTCTGGGATAAACTTTCAAATATAGCCAAGATTAATGTAACTCCTGGGTCAGCCTGCCATTGTATTGAACCTGGATGGTTCAGATGCTGTTTTGCAACATTAAATGAAAAGCAGATTCCTCTAGTAATAGAAAGAATATGTAAAGTTGTTGAAACTTGTAAACGATCTGCATAAAACATTATGGGACTCGAATTATTGGATCTAAATGTCCAGGCTTTATACTAATTGCAAGTTTTGATGATTTAAGGTGTCATCATCATTGTTTTATTTGCAGTCACAATCCTGATGTTATTGAAGTAATTCAAATCTTTTCGTACATGCAGTAACACGTAATAATTTAATATGCCCACATCAGAATGGGATGAACTGGAGTTTGACTTGTTGCAGCAAAATAATTGCATGAAATCTAAACCAGATTGCCAACTTTCCTACATCAGTTTTAGTTGCAGCTGCCTCTTCCACTTCCTGTGCAATCCACTGATGCCGTTGCCAGGTCCAAAGATGCAGCAACCCAATGCATTCCCCTTAATAAGATCCTGTCATACATAAGGTGCAGAATTAAAAGCCTTCTCAACCCAGAGGCTTAGATTGGTGCAGTCAGGTAATTCTACTATATATTTATGGTGTTTACTAGCAACAAGAACGTCTAATTATTGTTGATTGAATCATTAGGGAAAAGCAGGGAAGAATAAAGTTACCATGGATGGCTGTTTATGAATTTTATTTGCTTTTCTCTTGTAACTCATTCTTCGGCTCATCATTATCATCTCTCCAAGCGTCAGCAGTGGTCTTCTTACAAGACTTCCGTTGCTCTCACGTAGCAAATCTATGTTTTGTACATCTTCTGTGGGAGAAGTGTCCTTCTCTAAACATTCACCGTTGTCAAGGAAACTCGACTGAGGTGCTAGAAGAGGAAAGAGCCACTCCAAGAACGAAGCTCCAACCAAGCTTGTGGTTACTGTTGCAGAGTTGCTTGCACTGCTGTCTGTTTCTGGTGAACAAGGAGTTTGGACTTGCCCATCATTGATTGTTGTTGGTGTAAGTAGATTTTGCTGCTTGGGAACTGAATTGGAGAGTGCTGTGCTAGATATAAGGCCATTGGCTAGGAGAGATGGAGCGGAGCTGAAGGAATTGCCCGTTATGAAACTGCACGTGTCAATCTCTGAATCCAGCGTATCATCTCCTTCTCTGTTATCTTCAATGTCTCCCTCACTCCATTCTTCATCTTGACTGTCGGAGAACCTGGGAGGTGATGTGAAGCCGATGCTCATTGTCTGTTGCAATGCAGGTTCTGATTCCGGCAGTGACTGTGAGAAACATGGAAGTGGTTTTCCGGGCTTCTCTTCCCATCCAAAGGGAATAGATGCAACAAGCTTGACTGGCAGCGCGACGGGTTTAATCGGTCGAGGGCTTGGTTTCCAATCTTTCTTGGGTGTCCCAGGTTTTTCTTCCCAAACAAATGGAACAGAAATTGGCTGTCTGTCTCTCTTCCTGCCAGAACTCTCAAGAGGTACTAGGTCTTCCATATGGGATTCTTGTCTATAGTTCCACACCTATTCCTTTTGCATAGAATTCTGCATAAATCTTTGTATATATAATACCAGAGTATAAGTGGATTAGTATCCAACTAACACACTATTGCATGATAAACCTCACCATTTGGTTTGAAAATTAGGCTTACCTAATTTCTAATTTGACTAATAAGGTGGACTTGGTTTTAATGGGCCTTT